GGAAAGGAACGGACTCACTCGCCCTACTTCTAAAGATAGATAGAAAAGGTTAGGGGGTCCCAGTTGTTGAGGTGGCGTAGTGACAGGTGAGAACAATAACAACAAAAGCAGCAGAAGATCCTGCATTAGTATATTCGGTAGTTTGCGGTGGAATAGATTTAAGCGTCCGGGCCAGTAGATCCACAGCAAATAGGCGTTGACTTAGTTGCTTTTGCAGTTTATTTTAATCCCGATGTTGATCCGACGCAACTTACCGATGATAGTCGCAGCACCAGGAGCTTTCAAGGGAGGGGGCTAGGATCTCTAGTTCTGTTCTGGAATCAAAACAAAAAATCTAACTAAATAAGCAGCGAGCCGTTCAGATGAGACCCGAAGACCAGGAAGAATAAATAAGCAAAGGGAGGGGCTTCTTCCTTCAACAAAGGTAATGCTTATTCTTCTCCTTCATGGTACTCTTGAATAAGGCAAGGCTTTTCCCTATTCCCTATCAAAAGCACTTTCAGTAGAAAAATGAATTCGTCTCAAATCAAAAGAAGAAGACTCCGCACCTTCAACTAATTCAAGCAATTCAGTCAGTAGAAAAGTCATATCACTGAACATTGGATTATATACAACCTCGTGAACATTATAACCAATCAATCGAGAGTCTTCTATACATTTAGAAACTTTCTATTTATTCCCGAACGCACAAGAAAAGGTAGAACCTTTGGGAGGTACTTTCGTTCTACTTTACTATAGCTGTTTTAGATCTGCCGGTCGCTCTCTTGCAAGTGTGAGTCTAGCTCCCTCTCCTTGATCTCTTCTTTTTGTTTTTAGCCGGATTNTGGTCGCTCTCTTGCAAGTGCTCGTCTAGCTCCCTCTCCTTGATCTCTTCTTTTTGTTTTTAGCCGAATTTGGCCTTTTAGCCATCCCTTCGATCAAATAGAGTTTCTTATCCTACGTTTTTCTTTTTTTCCCATGATAGCGATATTCCTTTGCTACTTCTTTCCTCGGCTAATGGAAAAAAATCCTTCTTTTTACCCTGTCTGGCGCCATCCATCTCCAAATAGTAAATGCGCTGCTGAGCTCAGATGTCCGCTCGTCTGGCAAGTTGGCAGCAAGCACTTCCTCCCCTCTTTGTGTGGAAAAGCTTCTGAAAGCCTATTAGTTAGTATTAGTAAAAAACCTAGTTAAGGGGTCCGTAGTTGTCGCAATCGCTCATTGGTCTTCACCTCAAGTGCTTTCTTCAATGAGTCCAAGTCTGCCTTCGCGGATAAGAAATCAAGGACTTGTCGGTAGATCAGCTAGCTCGCGCTCTAGTCTTTCATTGATCTTTTCTACCCCTCGCTCTATGAGGATGCGCGCCTATCCAGAACGTGCAAAGTAAAATAGCGGTAGATCAACTGGGTATAGATCGACACATAGGCTGCTGGCAGAGTGGGGGGCAGAATCACACAGCAAGAAAGCTTCCTGTCAATCCAAAAATGTTAGAAAGAGAATTAGATCTAATCTCGTCAAGTGGGCTTATTCAATTTCTGAAGTTAGATTGAAGATTGAGAAAGCCGGCCAGTAGTGCCTTTAGCGAATGCGTTCACGAGGCCGGTCCCCGGTGGCTAAGAAGCTTGATCACTTTGTTGAATAAAGCAAGTTGACGTGATGATCGAATCTGGGTGAAGTGTCGCTACTTGGCCCAGCGTTATCGAGAAAAGGTTTTGTTTCCTTAGTCTTTCTTGTGCACTTTTTTTAGTCTACTTAGTCTATCTGAGTGGGCTTGGTTGGCAGGGTCAGGGTCTTTCGCATTCTTATCTAAAAAAGAGTAAGAGGGCGGTTCCCTCAATTGTGGCATCGCCTTCATCATCCCTCGGACAGGTTGATGAGCTTTTGGACAATTCGATATGAGCGAACTCCAGAAGCATCAGACCGTCTGTAATGGCTCGTCCCTAGTGCCTTTGAACGAACTGAAAGGCCTCTCTTCAACTCCCTCTGAGGTTTGAACTGCCAACCAACTCTTTCGACTGCGAGTCATCAAAAGAATGAATGACCACTAGAGGGGGAAAGCGATAGAAATTGGTTCCCTACGACGTCTTCTGTCTTCGCGCTTTCTAAAAACCCCCCTAGCCTTCCACGCAAGCTGTAGTACCCCCGGGAATCTTTTCAAACCTTAGTCAGGGCTACTTGAAGATCCTTTCATCTCTTCTTTCTTTGTGTTGAGAGAGAGTCGCCAAAAGGCTCATTCCAGGAGTGAAAGAGAACCTGGCTTGCTTAGCAACCAAAGCTAGCTTACTAAGGAAAAACCTGTTAATGGGAGACCCTTCTTTGCCGGGCCGGGTACTTCTCCTTTATCCCTTGCCTTGCTTTTTTGCTCGGCCACTCTCTGTTCTTAAGTAAGGGTTCCCCTCTCTCAAAAAAAAGAATATGTTAATCGTTACCGATACCAGGCAGAGTTGCTTTTCCTTGCTCCAGAGGAGATTGGTATTGGTAGAGTCGCATTCAACCCCGTCTTTTTGCCCTTTGGCTGGTAATCACATCGGCCATAAGGTGGTCTATCACCCCGGTTGGGGAGAAAAGCTTTTTTGTTGTCGGAAAATCCCTCTCCGCTTTATTAAACTCTTCTCTTAGGCGAGAGCTCACTCAATTCCTTTTTAAACTTTCGCAAAGCTCTCCTTTCCTTAGAGTGAGTTGGTTTTGAATGAAAGCAGGTTTCATCCTGACTTTCATCGGGGACAGGTACGGGGTCTGGGTCGGTCGATACGATGAACGGGAAATCAAAAAATCTTGCTTCATTGAAGTCCCTCATGGAAGAAGAATTGGCTGATGTAGAAGGCTTATTTGTTATCGTATCCACCACATAGTTTACATACTCAGACAAGCTGACTCCAGCGCCTATAGTAATAGTCATACTAAAGCTAAAGAGATCCCAATAGTCAATCCGCTACGCCCCAATGTTGTCAACGAACAATCACCTTGCCTTACTAATATATTAATTTTTTCGCATTGTCTTCCTCCAACAGGAAGGAGAGCAGCTGATTCTAGGGATGCCCATTTGTCCACATCAAAAGGAAAGGAATCAGTCCGGCAGCAAGAGAGGAATTCCTCTAAGCCGTATCATCAATGTTAATAGCATTTATCGATGCTTCTCCACACTGTCCTGGTCTCACGATGTGGATTCGAACCACTGCTTCTCCTTATTGTCGTGAGTGGGTCTGTCGTCCTCCTCATTATAGTCCTCCTAGAATCCAGAGCATTTCGTCGAAATACATCCTGTCTTTTCACCTTAGTAGTCCTATGCATAGTCAGTACTATAGCCCCAATCATGGCTACTAATAAAATAAGACTAGAAACCAAAAACCAGACGAAATAGTAGGTATAAAGTAAATTGCCCAATGTTTCCAAATTAGTCCAACTTCGTACCTTTCCGGCATAAACCGTATATCTCAGAGAGGTCGTATTTCTTTGGGTTGGTAGTAATGGAATGCTTTCATTATCTAAAATAAAGAACATCTCCCACCAAAAGAGCAGTCCAATAATACCACTCACAGGTAAATAGCGCAATACTTCTTCGTGAATCTCCGCTATTTGAATATGGAACATCATAACAACGAATAGGAATGAAACGGCTATAGCTCCTATATAAACTACTGGGAAGATCATAGCGAAGAAGTCGAGACCTAACAAAAGAAGTAAACCTGAAGTGTTGCGAAAGACTGGGATGAGAAACAAAACGGAATGTACCGGATTTTTAGCACGTACAACCATCAAACCAGAGACCAAAGCAGGGCTCGACAAAACAGAAAGTATCATAGTACGTCGTCCTTCCCTGAAATGGAACTTTCATGCTGGAGCAAGAACTAGCATGAAAGTCGATCTATTACGACCAGCGCGGTTGTTCCTATTTCATTTTCTTCTTCCAAGCCCTTCTTAGAAAGCACTCACTGAGTTACTTACGGAATCTCAAATCTCTCTCGACGCCGAGAATTATTTATGTGTCCAGGTCGATTAGAGGTTCGGCTTCCTTCTCCCCCACCTTTTAGCCTTCTGGACCCCTGAAAAAAAAAAAAAGAAAGCTGAAATCAAAAAGAAAGAAGAGAAATTGGGCCATCTTTCCCGAGAGAGGCCGCCTTCTCTCAGGCCAGCAGTCTTCTACTTCTAGTCGACTGCTCTATGACGGGCTTCCCTCTTTCCTTGGCTCTGCTCGCTCGTCTACGCTCCGACCCAGCAAGTAATAATTGAAAAACGATGTTTCCTTGCCTGCATTAAGATTTAAAACTTGTCGTCAAAAAAAAGGCAATCAATCAGAATCAAGAAAAAATATGGAAATAGTGAATCAAGATCTAGATGGATCCCTATCTTTATCTCTATCCACGGAGATACCTATCTATATGGAGAGAGATCTATCTATGAATCGGCCTAGACTATCCTCTATCCGGATAGATATGTCCCTATGAGCGACTACGCCGATCTTTATATGTTTTGGCCACGTCCCTTTCCGCTCCGAAGAAGAAGGTTTGGATCTTTCAATCTTATGTCGTGAGGTATGTGACCTATGTTAGGTCCATAAGATACCACAGCTTTTGGTGTTCTATGATTCACCTCCGAATAATGAGTAGGTAGTTCGATCCTTTTTATTTTGATCTTTTTAGTAAACTGATGGGGGGATGCGGAGCAATAGGTCGAATTACTATATAAAGAAGAGTTGTAAACTATAGGACTTCTTGTTCGAGTAGGAATATTTCGGTTTTTCTCGTTCCTTCTCTTCGATAAGAATAGGGATTTGAAATGATACAAATTCCTCTTCATTCTGTTGTGCTCAGCGAAAGAACTGCCTAAGCATACTTTTTCGGATCCAAACTTCTTTGTTCTTTCTAAGTCTTCTTCTTGCATAGAAGAACGCAACTGTTGCAAAAACCGGGATTTTAGTAGTAGGCGGCATCCCCTCTTAGTTTTGAGTAGGCGGAACCATTCTGTTTTGGTTCTTCTCCACGGGTGATCCAGGAATTTTCCTATTATTTTTTCAACTGAGATTTCGATATAGAAGGATCTCTTTATTTCTTCACCGCGGGTTCTCGCATCATTTTCTTGAAAAGATATTATATCACCGTGGGAGAGTTTAAAATGAGTAATGTTAACCATTCCATTATTCACACAAACCCTTCGATGACTTATCGGCTGCCTTGCTTGAGGAATAGTTTCACAAAAATGGAGACGAACCGGGATAACGTCCGATCTTGTTTCTGGATTGAGTAGAAAAGGGATATATGAAGTTCGTTCTCTTCCTCTGTGCATCTCTGTGATGGGTAAATCTCCATAAAAAAGGGACAACTTTCGTGTAGTTTGTGATTGGATGTAACTGTTAAGATTTTCTCTAGAATAAATCTTTCTCTTAATAGATCTCTTCTTGTTCCTCAATCTTCGGAGAATACGGCGTTGTATTATTGTAAGTTCTCTGTTCCAAACATTTCCTGAAAGTAGACGACAAGTTTTAAATCTTAATGCAGGCAAGGCATATCTCGTTGAATCAGTCTTTTTCGCCACATCGCGTATAACGGGAATCGAACCCCCTCCGCTGCTGGCGGGCAGATGTATAATGTACTACTTCGATCCAGCAACTTGTTAGGAGTAGGTTTTGGCTTGCCCCTTTCTTCTTATTAGTCAGATAGGTTTTCCACCCTTTCCCCTTTTAATATAATAATAAGGTAAGCTTCCAAAGCTCCTTTCTTCAGCTGGTGCGCAGGAGCACACTTTCGTTTTCCCCTTTACAAGGGGCTTTCATGAATAGGGATTTCCCGCCAGCAGTCTTCTCTTCCTATCACTTCACTTCGTTCTAGAAATCTGATCTCACCGGGCCGGGCGAAGGGGAAGGAAGAGATGGGTGGTCCGGGAACAACAACGAGAGAGGGCTCGTAGCCCCCCCTCTCACTCTTCCCCACGCCTATTTGTTCACCCGAGATGCAGAACTCTTTTTTTTTTTTTTTTAATGAATAGATAGAGCCATGATACATTCCGAAATATTGTAAAGGTAAATAGACTCTTTTCGCCCCCTTTTCGATGTCTGCCTGAGGACCTATGTTAATGTTTTGGAAAGGGGATGTTCGCCTTTTGTAACAAATAGACCCACGATACGGACTAATATATGTTCTTACCCGTAAGCATAAGTAAGATCTATTCATAGTTGGTCAGTCCCCCACGGCAGGGCTTCTCGCTTTTCATGAATGTGTCTCCCCCTCTGCTTATGTGAGTTTTACCCGCCTTTTACTCTGCTTGCTTCTGACTCCCTATGAGCCCTTACTTTTTCGGAGGGTCGGCGGGACATGGGAGCCTCAGCTCATGCATCGGTTTACCGAAATAACCTCTGCTCTCCCACTTCCTTCTATTCAAAAGGCGAGCAGCCCTTAAACAAAAAGGCCTAAGAGGGTTCTTCTTTATATATTACATAAGCCCTTAAAGTAGGTAGCCCCGAAAGCCGAACTCAGCAGAGTGGGTTTTGGCTTGCCCCTTTCTATCTTATTAGTCAAACCTAAACGTCCTTATTTCAAAAAACAGCGCTAACACCCTATCTATAGTAAGGGGCCTTTTCAATTCAATCTCCCACTTGATTTCGGACAGTCAAATATAAAGACTCTTTGTTAGCTCTTCGTGCCTCCTTGACTTCTCAAACTGAACTAAGACTGTCCAACTAGAGGTATAGCCGGAAGGAGCTCTTTTTGTATTGAAAGTGTTTTCAAATAGCAATCCATCGCGTCGGTAATAAGACTTAGAGTAAACGAACGATTCAAGCTCCTTACAGAAGGCAGTTCAGCTTGATAACTCGATAAGCTGTATTGACAGAACAAAACCACTCTTTCAAAGGTGGGATCAATCCCAACCTATTCTTCTTAGCCTAACAGTCTATTCGTGGAAGTAAATTATCCAAAAAGTCTCCTTACTAGACCTAACATCCTGTCATCGCTTTCAGATACAAGGAAGTTGGACTAGTTATTAGACCAACTATCTCACGCTCTCTCTCTCAAACCCAGCCAAAGGAGCACATCTAGTTGAAAGACTCTCATTCTTATTTAGAATGGGAAGATCTTTCAGTTCGTAAAAGCTTAAGCTTAAGAGCTTTATCCATAAGTAATGAGAGGAGACTTTTAGAAAACCCTCATGCCTTCTCTGGAGACAGAGATCTTACTGCTACCTCCGAGTCTGACAATCTAGTCTTCTAGGCTTTTCGCTTTTAGAATCCTCTTTCTCTCTGATCCTTCGTGCGTTCTTTATCCTATTCCGATTCGATTTAGCTTTCTTTTAGTTGCTATATCTTTATTTTGAAGAAAGGTGGATCTATAGGGGAAAGGATAAATATATAGTATCAATAAGAAGATAGTTTGATTTTCTTGTTTGCACATGTGTATTGTCTAATCTATGAGAATCAAGCTTTTCCCCTTCCGTAAGCGCATATAGGGAAGTGGGCCCTCGGCTATTGAGAGGACTCCTATTGTCTTTCTTTTATTTACTGGAGTTTCTTGTTCCCGCGCCCCCCTGGTACCGAGACCCCCGGTAATCTCTTGCAGGGCGCACAAGGCCCTTAGTCTTACCTCATGCAGTTTCTGCTTTCTTGTTGGCTTGGCGGTGCTTTCCTTCCTCTGTGGAGAGAAGACAGAAAAAGGATGTTTCCCCGCTTTCCGTCCGTCGTGTATTCCCCCTTATGTCTTCTGTAAGAACGAGAGGGATGGGCTCCCCGCTAACACTTTTTCAGATATTCCCCCTTCCAAGGACGCTTTCTCGAGCCTTTTTCCCTCATCCCTTTTGGTTTGGGGACGACAAGTACTTCGTCTCGAGTAGGACACCGGTGATCTCTACATTCACCTATGTAATTTCGAAATCTGCTTTCAAGCAGCTCCGTTTTCTAAGGGAGAGTGGACTAAAAAAAGGAGAAGCGTCATGCGTCATGCTTTTGTAGACCAGCTAGTATACATTAAAGAAAGTGGCTTCCTCAATTAAACTAGCTTCCTCATCTTCTCTTCCCCCCAACAACTTCACTCCGGAGGAATCGCATATTCTTAAGCGAGAAGATCAGACTCTTATTATTGAATTTCCATTGTTTGCACGTAATAGCTCATTCTCTATATTTTTTTTATGCTCAATCTTTCTGTTTTCCTTTTTCAGTCTAAAAGGAAAGCGAAGTGACTATCATCGGATAGTCACGAGCGCTTAGAGGTATGAAGTTAAGCGAATCTTACTATCTGAAGGAGCTTAGCTTCTTAAAGGACTCTTAATAAAGAAAGCTTTTTTGAAGAAAGCAATTCAAGTAGGGCTTGAAAGAAGCCAGGCGATCCGATCAGAAGATAAAGAAGATAGACGAGAAGATAAGGGGCGAAGGACTTTTAGAAATCCGATCGGTGTAAACATGATATTAATTAGTCTTTGTCCTTTCTTAAGAGACTCCGGACGCTCCTTGTCCTAAGCCCCAGGCATCCGGTTACCTTTGCGGATCTCCGCCGCCTGCTTTTGCGCTATTGTTACTTACGACGTCTCTTCTCTTACGCAATTCCTGACTAGTCGTAGTTTTTCTAAGGACCGGAATAAGAGGTTTCGGCTTTTCGGGGTATTTAACATAACTAATAATTCTTTATTGGAAAAGTTTAAAAATTTCAAACAATTTTGATCGGTATTCAACTAAGGGCCCCGTTAAGTAAGATGGGAGCCAATACAAAGCTAACAAGCGGGAACCCTGATCTAGACACAGTAGGATCAATTGAGTTAGCAAATCTAATGTGCGTACAAGCATCTTTTTCCTTTTATTTTTGAATTTGGCACTATTTAAATAAAAAAGAACCTACAATAAGGTTTTCTTCCTTAAACACTAACCCGGCCAAGACTCACCAATAAGGTAACTCCGCCCTGTGTTTTTTGGATCAAATCCGGTGACAATTCTCCACTCATGTCCTTCCAGAGCTGGGTAAGTGATCTTCAAGGGCATCTCCCCGATCCATTCTTCCCAGCGCTCCTCAATCAGATCCATAACTGCTGTTGCTTGTGCAGGAGTAACTAGAGAACTTAAAATTGCAATAAAGTTGTCAACTAAGAAAGACCGGAAGTCCATGCGAGCCGGGCTGATATTAACCAAAAAGATACCCTCCTCGAAAGGGCCTGAAATCAAAGACCCAGTCAGGGATAGAGTTGAGAATGACATTAAAATTGAACAACTGTGTAGGAGTACTAATAAGTTTTGTAAGGGTATAGTTTATTTAATTGAGTGAAATTAGGCCAGTAGTCTTTCTGAATGTGATAGCTGAGAACTGTGATTCTTCGCTCGATCAATTCTTGCCATCACGCTCTGGCTTTAGCATCTGCCGAGCACATCTAAGCGAAAAATAGAAAAAACTGGATTTCAATTGGATACCCTTTTTCTCTGTTCCAGGTACAAGTCAAGTTGAATTTACAAAAGAGAATTCAGTGTTAGAAGTATTCAAATCCATAAATTCACTACGAAACAAGGCCGGAACCAAGCCCTAAATTTGAGACTTTGGAAAACTGCAAATAGTAAACTTAAACTATCAATCATATTAATATTACATCCATCTCCACATAGAAGTGTTGGAAAAGAAAGCTATCTGAGAGGCAGAGGTTGACTATAAACTTCATCTCTCTCTGGACCTCAGGGAGTTTTTCCAGAGCTGAATTGCGCGTGCACTTCTGCCAGAGCAGAATCACGTGTGTACTTGGTGTATAACCTCAGCAGTATCTTCCATCAGAACCCCAAATCGGCAACGAATATGTCCTTTAGACTTTGCTAGAAATGGCCGAACACTAAAAAATAGGTGGAAAACCAGCTTAAGCTGGTTGTACTTTTAAGTTCGTTCAATTCACACAGGCAGGGTGATTGAGGTGCGTGCTTCGCAAGTTTTTTACTTTCTTCACACAACAAAACAAAGGCATGATAGTACTGTACTCAACTGCTCGTGCCGTATGGCTCTTCTACATTATATAATCTATAATATGTTCATTCATACCAATATACCTGCTAAAAAAAACCAATAAATTTTCAACCCCTCTCACAGTCATCAAACCTGCAACACCAAATTCCTCTCCGCCCTCTGCTCGGCAACGCAATTCCCATGCTCACAGCCAGTTAGAGCAAAAAAATCCACCCCCGTCTTTCTCTTAAAACTCACCTCAGTCTCGTAAATGTCCTTCCCAAATCCTAGCGTAAGGTGTATGATCCGCCGAATCCATTGCTGACTTCACCACGATCGATTAGGTGAAAGGGTTCTGCAAAGTTTGTTTTTTCATACAGGCAGCGTGGTTATAGTACTCATATTGTGCCAGCCATGCAATTCGTACTGCATTGGCAGAATTGCTATACACTCTATAAAAAGAGGCTCGATAAGCCTTCGTGCTCTACAAAAAAAAACAAAAAACAGAAATTTTCTACCAGTGTATATCGAGAAGCCATGGCCCTCCCTGCTCAAATTCTCGACATTCCCCAGCGACTTGCTGAAATTAACGTTGAAATACAAAATGTAGAAAATTCTCTTCGAAAGACTCGAATAATGTTAAATGGTTTCTTGAGGCATCTTCGCTCCGTGAACCCGGCTGCTATTGAAGCCCGAATGGAAGCAAGCCGTCAAAGAATTAGGGAACTAGAAGAAAGACTCCAGGGACTACGCCAGGAGCAGCAGGCACTGATCGTGGAGGCAATCTTCCTTGGTGCCCGAGAAAACTAAAAGAGTCCGTCGACTCTTTTTAGTTTTAGAAGGTTTCAATAAGTGTCTTGAGACATTTGTTTTCATGTCTGGTGTTCTTTTTTTTTTTAGTGTAGATCTACTCCGGTGCCTACTGGAGATAGACTCCTATCTATGCTAACTATCTTTGTTTGGTTTTCTTTGTTATGTTTGCATGTATAGTATGGTAAAACCAAAAGTGTAAAATGTTTACCACTTAATGCTATGCTAATAGAATAATTAAAAAAGACTTATTCCCTAAATGACTACTCTAACTTTGTCCAAAAAAACTGGAATACGAATGAGATCCACAATGCCATCATTGTATGGCCGATAGTAGTACAGTAAATGACGCCTTCCTCTTCAGCGCCACGCATAATTGGCTCGCGTAAAGGCAGAAGAAAGAAAGCCCGAACGAAAGAAAGCTGACCAGGAGTGCCAAACCACTCTAGTATCTTCACCCTTGCACCCCCTATGCTATTATACTTGGACTAGGGGCCTCCTTCCCTTGTGCTTTTATACACATGGAAGTACCTTTTCTTATCAATTCGCCTTCATAAAAAAAAAATAGTAAAATTTGGTGACTACTATTTTAGTGTTCACCCTCTCATCCCAAACTTACCCTTTTTCCACGGAAGCCCTCCCCTCACTTTATTGTTCTTCATGAGTGGGAAGAAAGCAAAATCTTTCTTATCCAATACCAATCCGGGAATACTAGGCTAAGCATGTAGCCTAGCCGCTTCACTCGTCAAAAACAGGCTTAGTTGAATGGTACTAACTAAGAATGCTATTGGATGAGGAAATTTTTACTCCGGAAGACCTGGAAAGACGGAACTACTTTCGGCGGGTCCTTCTATTATCTCCTTCACGCTACCAAATCCGAACTAATGAGTGCCTGTAGCAGCATTGAGTGATCCCCTTCTCCGACACCGATACCCTAGGGATTACATATTGTGCCAACTCCCCTCTGCTGCCTCGCTCTACAACCGGATACTTTTCTTGGCACTGGTTGAATTACTTGGAACCCTAAGAAAGGATCGACTGTCTCTCGCTTTACTTTACCGGTAAAGCATTTCTTGCTAGATCGGATTGAGAGTGACTTCTTCCGCTGACTAAGGTGTTTCGTTTGTGCGTTTGCAACATCCGAAAGGAAAGCCGTCTCTCTTCCATTCGGAGCAAGCATCGTAATCGTACCGCTATAAAACAATCCATAGGAAGCGGAGCAACCTCTACGTATTGCCCATTCGCCATCCTTGGTGAGTCCGGTTTTCTGTGCTACGTTATTCTTAGATCCAGCGAAATCATTGGTATTGGTTTCAGAGTCCACTGGCTGTCTAGAAAGCCGATTGTCAACTTGAATGTTTACACAAGAATCTCCAATCCAAGCCTCTTTTGTCAATCCGGGGCAATACGAGTGGCATAAGCTATTTCTTATAAACAGGCTTTCGAGAATAAATTGGAGGACTACCGATTGATTGACCCCGGAAGTAAAGAATGACGGTTCGACGAGCTCTTATTCGCCCCTGGCGGACCTGTATACTCTTGTCCTGTTGGGTATAAAGGACACGGGGAGCTGCCTTGGGTATCTCCGAGGACTTGAGCTAAGGGATTGTTTACTGAACGTCCCATACTTTACCTATCATTCGGTGAAGTGCCCCCTTCCATTTCTTAGGTAAGAGGAATCTACCCGTAATGCGTGAACCAGTGCCCTTTTCTTTTGTACTAATCAACTATATGAAATATAGAAAAGAAGGTCTTCAATCTTCACACTTATGCGTGTTTGGAACATTTTGAGGTCAGCTTTGAGTGGTTGATTTTTTCCAACTTCCATATCAATTATGGAGAGAGAGAGATCGAAGGTCTTGTCGTGCGTCTTGGAGCGAATAATTGCTTAAAATAAAGGCCGTTAAGGTCACATTGACATAGAATAATACGGATTAGCTCGCCCAGTGAGAAAGGCCCTGACCCTGCCAACCAAGTATCAAAAAGAAAGAGAGAAAAATCGGATATGAATAAGGGATAGGCAAGTCCCATTCAATCGATTCCTAATTCAATAGGGGAATCAAACATTTAACTATTTACGATGTCTCCCGCGGGGACGGAAATCAAAATCGGGCAGGATTCGCTCAATCAAAGACAGTTCAATTCGATCTTAGCCGATCTAAGGTTTACCGTCTCTCCGGCCCCGTTTCGGTGCACTATTGGAGAGCTCACTGGGCCCGCCGCTTTCTCAATCGAAAATGGAAACTAGCCTACTGAACGATTCCATCTATCACTTACGTCATTTCTCAAGGTCAGAAATCTCTAATTTATAATTTAAGCATGAAGTCATCGTTCCGTCATCCAACATGCTTCTATCTAAGTGATTTCATACCTTACTACTCCCCTCCGTCACCCTTCTAAGCTCCTTTGCCCTATGCCTTTAGTCTGCTTTGAATGATCCTTTCACTCTTCGAAGGTGAGCGAAGTACTTCGAGGGATTATATGGAAGGAACCTCTGCTAAGAATGGAATGCATTGATTTGGGGCACTTCTTCTCCTTATTTAGCTTTCAAGTGGGAGAGGACTTCCATAGAGTCATTTATGTTAACCCCTGCTTTGTGGTACTATCTCAGTCTAAGGCTTTGGGAGCCTGCATTTGTGGGAGCTGAGGCCACATTCACTACCATCGCAGTCTGGGTCCAACTAGGAGGTCTTCCCATTGAATTCTATTACATACATGACCACATTGAATAGGCTAGGAAAGGAAAGGAATGGAATCTTCGCGTGGACAAAGAGAGAGAAGAGAGGGCTAGGTCAACCTTATGGATAGCGTAGCGTAAGGACGGGATAGGAAAGAGAAATGCTCAATGAAGCGCTCAAGAGAAGGGTGTAGGGCGTTGAGCAGGGCTAGTCAGCGCCCCGAAGTACACAAAATACCGGCTGGTACAAAGCAGGTCAGGAAGCTTGACATGACAGAAGTTCGAGTCGAACCAGACTAGCAGATAGTGGGGCGATTGGTAGTTCGGGCAGTGGAAGGGCTTGGAAGGCAGCTGTAAGGGATTGAAAGCGCGTAGTCCCTCGATTCAGGGATCGGTAGCGTCTTCCTCGGTCGGTAGGTGGGCATGAATGGAGCTTCCAGGAGTTAGTGCATTGGATTCCTGGGCAACTGCATCTAGTAGAGCTGACTGAAGACCAAAGCAATCTCCTTTCTAGTCTAGTCTAGGCTTCTAGCCTTGGAAATGAGTCCTTAAACTCCCCTAGCTGCATTAGCGGTCTTAGCACTTTCCCTCTTTTTTCGGACGAGTCAAGCAAGTCCAGGAAGAGTGAATCGTCGAATAGGGGGAAGTAATATCACGGCAAAAGCCTTTTGGGTCGGAAGAGCAAGCTTCTTCTTTTCGATCTGGTAGGAGGGGAAGGAGGACAGAGCTTTCGATTAAGCATTTGTGTGGGTCTAGCTCTGCTTTCTAAGGGCTTCTTTTCTTAGCTTCACCGGCTGGAAAGATAATTCATGTGCATCAACAAAGGTCTAACAGTTTCATTGTAGGCACATCTTTCTCTTAGTGAAAGCCGCGTTCACACAGCCCTATGCCCCCCCCTTGTGGTATTCATCCGGATTTCTCTGTCCCAAGCCGGTCTGTTCACAAATCTCGGATGTTACTTTTTTGCACGAATCCGACCTTTTCGGGGTTGAAGGCGTAAGCGCAGCTATTAAATAAAATCCGCATCTGCTATTGACTCGTCCCGCTTGAGGTTTGTCGAAGATAAGTATCAAGTCCTCTATGGCTGAACTAGACTAGATTTCGAGGATGAGTAGTGGATAAAAAGTCATCCCGAGGTATACTCACAAACTCTTTCACGAGCTGGACTCGAACCAGCATCTCTGGGAGCAAAAGACAGGCCCAGAGAACAACCTTTCATTTTGATCGTGACAAAAAAAAGAAAGAAGAGAGGGAACTTGGAGTTGGCGCCCACATAACGGATTGCTTGCTTACCAAGCCATCCTGGCTTTCACTCCTCCAGTTAGATTATTCTGCTTTGTCTCACCCAGGCGGCCTACCCGCTTTCCTTTCGTTCAGCTGCCCTCAACCGCGCCATAGGGACTTCTCAGTGCAAATCCAATTCATTATCATCCACCGAGTATTCTATTTATATAGGCTGAGTTTTGGCCATGTGTTCGTATATCGCGAGACAGTAGATTAAAAAATTAGAGTTCTCTCTGGTCCTTTACTAATACATTCCCGCCTTGTTGGTCAAGTTCACTTCGTTTCTCATCCAAAAAGTCACAAAAGGCTTCTTGGGGGGTGTAGGCGGCATTTTCGGCCAAGGCAGGATGTGAAGTAAGTATTTGTTGAAAAAGAGAATAGCATGAATGCTTTTTCTCACGGATCCGAAGATCCCTATTCTCGAACTCGATCAATTGGTTATATTCCTTTTGCGAGGAACAATTGTTGAGTGAATGTTTTACTTCTGCCCAATAGACCCCCTATCCTTATCCATCAAAAAAATGCTATTGGTATTTTCCATTGCCAATATCCTATTTATCATCGATGACTCCAAGGCTATATTGTGAGTCGGGGGCCAAGGCTCCGACAGGACCTGGAGCCCGAATAAATCTTCCGATGAGGAGTTTGAAGGGCCCGGAAGAGGAAGTCCTTGCCCTCCCCCCACACTCAAAACCAAAACAAAAGAGAAAAGATCAGCCAAAAGAACATCTAAGCGAGAAAGTAAGTAGATCCGGAGAAAATAGAAAAAGAAAGAGATGAAAAATATTAGGAATAAAAGAATCACACTCCTTTTTCTTTTTGTTGAACGAGAAACTAGAGTCAGACTTAGTAAAAGTAAGAAGAAAAGAAGGATCAATTCTGGGGTGGTGCTTCTATCTGATCCTAGAAAACGTACGAAACAACCTGCTACGGAACTACCGATAAGGGGCAAAAACACTTTACTTAGTCGAGGCATCATGTCTTTACTTTATGCTTTGCGCTGTTTGCCTTACTNTGGCACGAGAAGAGGTAGAGGGCGGCCTAAAAAGTATTGGGGAGAGGTGATCAGACAGGATATGGCGAGACTTCAGATTTCCGAGGACATGACACTTGATAGGACGTTGTGGAGGTCGAGTATTACGGTTGTAGGCTAGGAGGTAGTTGAGTCTTGCGTTACTTTATACCTTTGTGAGCCTAGTCCGGTAAGGTTTTGTCTAAGAGAGCTAGGGGCAATGTCGTGTCTTACTATTTTATTTTTCGACGTTGGATCCATTTACTAGCCACCGTTTTTGCTTTGCATTTTTCTTCTGCATTTTATGTTCCTATTTTTCCTATGATCTCCGTGATGAATCTAATATCCTCTCCTTTTGTTTCTTTTTATTATCTTGAATCGAGGGTCTTTCGGAGACAGTCTCTCTAGGGGTAAGGTCTACGTACACACTACCCTCCCCAGACCCCACTTGTGGGATTTTACTGGGTTGTTGTTGTTGTTGTTGATGTTCATGTGTAATGTGTATACAAATGTTTATATCTGACCTGTTTGATCCCTATCAACTTCATCTTATTTAATTATAATACAAGTATCAAATTACATAAATCCATCTGCATCAGTAAATGTAACAGTCTGACTCTAACGGCCTCCAATTATCAGACGAGAGAAAGTGCATCAAAGTTAAAAAAGAGTAAATCTGCTCAAAAGACCAAGGACTTTACTCAATGTACTGCGCAAAGTCCAAATAGATAGTGAAAGCTTGCGAATCAAAAGATACAAATGATGTAAGTACAGCTTACTAGAACTATTGGATTGCAATTAAGAAGTTAAAATATCTTAGAACAGAGTCAGGTATTACTTACTAAATCATACCTCTAAAGAAATTACAGCATCAAATTGTCTCTGTTCTTCGACCAGGTTTTCTGTTGACATAACATTCAATAGTGTCATTTTTCGAAGAATAATCTTGAGATCCAGATAAACACAGGATTTTAAAATAAGGTTACTAAAATCTATTTTCCTGCAGTTTCAAGACATATGTCATCAGCCAAGGTTGTTATACAACATAATTAAAAACCAGCAACATACACAAGCATCAAATCATTAATGTTTCCGTGTCTTTGTGGCATAAGAGTAATTGCCATATAACTAAAACGATTAGCTTGATTCATGATCTCTCAAACATTTTAAGGAGCTGCTCTGGAATTTAATTAGGCACAGGCGCCATGGCAAAGTCAATTTCTTTTTCTACTATATAATTTCTTCAGGAAAGCAAACATAACGACAAAGAAAAACATTTTTAGAATTTAAAGGAGAGACACAAACAAGTAACGAACAACTAAGATTACCCCAAAATAATTATTGCATACCTTTTTTCTTTCACGAGGAATCTCACGCTCCAATAATTTTGCAAGTTCAAATACCATTATCGGATATGCAATCTGTTTTTAATTCAAGTCTTTCTGAAGCTTGATGATTTTAGTCATATCTTTTTTGATTAATAAGTGTTTTTTATTATGTTACACTGAAGAAAGCATTCATGGAGAGAAATAGATAAAGTGGACAGAACTTAATATAGTAGACCAAGTACATGACATTTCAATTGAGTTTTTCTTCTCTGCATTCATCTGCTGGAAGGTGAAATTCACAGTGAGGACATCACCAACCACGCAAGTACTGAATGCAGCGAGTTAGGGTTTTAACTCTTATGTTGATTATCATGAAGCTACAAATAATTAGCACACTATCTCGACCAATTACCGACCTCCATAATCTCCATAAGGAAGAAAGAGGTTAACCAATTATGATCCGAGGATCCAACAAATCATGAGCACTTTCTTTTGTGGTTCACACAGTTAAATGGCGATAATTTCATACTATTGCAGCTCAAATCAGAACCACACAAAATTTGCAAAAGGCAATGACATACAACAGTTTTGATCAGAATCCACTTCAATTATATAGGAATGAAAGTGAGGGATGCCAAAATTCATTTCAAATTGATAGGTTGAGCAGATAAAACCAGTGCTTGATCATTGACATGGTTTCATAATGATAGCTGATGTAATGCGGACTACTTCTCCAATTCTCAATTAAAGAAGGCACCAACAAATTCCGGCACCTAAACCTGCTCATAGATCTGTTCCTTTTTAAATGGTTCCGATCACTGTATATTGTAATAGAAAATTAACATGCACATAGAAGTCAGCAATATTTGAACTTAATTATCATCAAACAAGACAGACATGTACCAGCGGTTGTGCACCGATATTCAATTGAAGACGCTTTTGGATCCAAATCCTGAAAGAAATATTAAAGTCCATAAGTATCCACTACATAGCATGGATACGGGTTTGACTGTCATATTTGTATAGGTATGACATGGAGACACACGAAGATAATAGGCAGAACTGACACCAATTAAACACTATATCATGTATTATATGTCATTCTCTACATAGCAGAATCAACAAAAAAGATACTGGAAGAAGCATAAGAATATATAACTTCAAAAATAAACAATATCAATTTTTTATTCTTAAAAAAAATGCAAAATCAATTTTAACAGAATTTAACACCAGAACATGAATTCTAGGCACACACCCATAAAACTATGATAGAATTTAAGATAGGATTTACAGCTTAATAAACAGCAAAAATAATGCTGAATCTTAATCAGTTCTATAAAGTTGTTTCGATTACTTCATCACTGATATGATTTTAGAGAATACGCCCTGTGTTTTTCATTTCTTAAACTACTGTTTGGTACATAAAGACCCGAAGTTGTCACTGAAAATTGTTGTCGCGGGCTCAAGAGTTGTGCTTTGGTCTCTTGGAAGGATAAGCACATCTAGATATGGGGATATGCTGTGCAGAAAATATAACGTAAAATAAGGAACTCCTTTTTTTTGTTCACATACCAAAAGTTAGTACCCTACATATATTTTATCCAATACCTACATATATTTTATCCAATACGATTATGACACAATTACATGGACTAAAGTTCAGTAACTGTGCACCTTAAACGCAATCTTTTGAAAATATTTTTCTGGTATATATCAATCATGGGAACAGCTAGAGTGAAACTTTTGGCGAACATCCCAGAACATCATAGCATATATTACTGCACGAAAACAAAGATCTAAAGGATAATCTGGCTTGTTCCCATTTTATGCAAAAAGGAAGAGACTCGTAGAATGGAAGAGGCAGACAGAGCTTTGCACATTTTGGTTAAAACATGACATCTTAATCAGAGCCTCTTGTGCCAAATTTACTAAATGCATAAGTTGCTTATCCCTGGACTTTGTAATGTGTCTACTTTATCTGCTGGCCAAACTTATGACACTATTTCTATGCCAGCAGCATGAAGCACTGATCCGAATGAATATTGCTCCACCTCCCTCAATAATGCCTAAGATTTAAACATTTCTTTATTTTCAGATCACCTAAAAGGGCAGAAGAAAGATCTCGTTTCTTCAACAGTTACATTGCTTCATCTCTACTGGACCTTTAAGTAGGATTCAAAACCTAGACAGAAGAAACATCAGATAACCAAATGTTCTATATTGGAACTTTTCTTGCATTTTCTGTCAACGTTGGGTACTTCGGATTCACAGTAAACATTCTAGTGATAAGCTCAAAACCTTTCTAAATGTTAAAATCCTAGTACCTCTTTCTTCCAGATCTCTTTGACCATCAAACGAACTATAATTCTGACAGGAGCAAAACTGTAATTGTCCCTCAAGGTAAGGTCGTAAGGATGTCTACAGAAAACTCAAAATCAATAAAAAGACTCGTATATTTTTAAATGTCATGCTCGTGATATTTCATGCGTGAAAGAACTTTAAAGAAACTGTACATTAACCAGACAAGACTTAAAAGTTAAAACAGCAGTTTAATAGTGCACAATGGGAACATCTAAGAGTAAAACATACCGCATGAAGGCGAGCAATCTTAATATTTTTGTCCACAGCGTCAACTCCCATGATGGTAGCTCCCATTCGAGCCAAAGGCTGAATTAAGAGGGAAAATGAGATGTGACAAGCCATACGTTTCAAATAGGCAAATAACTATATTCACAGGAGAAAAGTAATCTGCCATCTGCAAATGTAAAAGTGAACTTAATGGAGTACTAAGCTTAAAGAATGTATACCTCAGTTAAAATTCCCCCTCCACAACCAACATCGACAAACTTTAATCCTTCAAAAGGTCTAGTGCAATTTGGATCCTTTCTGATACAACAAAAACAGATTAGCTTCCAGGGATACAACAAGAGTAAAAACTGCATGTAGAGCAGTGTCAAGATGTACATAATAAACTGCATGAATAAGAACGCACCATCTCAAATCAGAGTAATTCACTCAGCTTGAGCCACACATTGTATTGGTGTTATGTGCATTTTAATAGTATTAAAATTATAATATTAAAGTGCATTAACTTTTGTGATGTTAGTGGCTATAAATTGGCAAGAAAGTGGTCATTATCTTTGGTTTAATTCATATAACCACTAATACCATGACCTATCACTAATTACCCACTAAAGCTTAAATCTGTAACCACCATCCCATGATCTAAAATTTTACTATCCCACTACCTTGTAAGTCTTCAACTTATTCTCTACAATAGAGAAAACTATTTCCTGAAGGAAGGTGTTCATTTTTGGTGGGGCTTTCCACTCAATAACTTGTCCGGAGTTTGTTCAATTCATACGACACTGTCATATGGAGGGGACAAGTCAATAGTGTTACTGCTGTATCGGTGAAGATTCTATCACAATGGGCTTGAATCTCCTTAAAAAGAGCGACATATCCGTGCCTAAGCTGGAGAATGTTTATTTATTTTTCTTCATCTTATTTTTTCAATTGTAATTCCTTGTATTTTCACCAACACATTGTTAGGACGTTGATACACTAAATACAAATGCTTCTTTATAAATACATGCACTTCTGAGAGTTTTCAAGTAGAGCCAAAGGTAGGGATAATTTGATTTTCTGTTTTTTATTTTAAGTGCAAATTTTGTAGTAACTTTTTCTAGAAAGTATAACGGAAAATAGGAACAAATTTGCTGATTACCCCATCTGACAAGGGAGGGTTTGTTACACACAAATTGCAAATGAGGGAGGTCACTGTACTAGCGAACTCTAAAACCAGCCCAGCATGATTTTTTTAACATAAGCCTGAAAAGAAGGCCGCTAATATACTATGATAATTACCTGAAATGGCGACAAAGAGAGGACCTAATGAAAGCAAGTCTCGTAGGGTTCATCATATGTAATGGCTTAAACGGTCCTTCTGCATCCCACCTGATTTTAAACTCAAATTCAGTACCAAAAACAACTATGCCTCAATTAAAAGAACAAATTGCGGAACTTTGAACTTTATATAATACCAGGTCTCGGAAATGGCGGAGAATTTAGCAAGTTCAAATTCATTGAGAGAACTTGTAGAGGTGGTGGAGGGATTAGGGGATGGAGGTGGTGGAGGATTTATAGGAGTTGGCTGAGAAACTTCCGAATAAGATCGCCATTTTACTTGATTATGTAACGACGGGAAGTTGGAATTGGGGTCTCTGAGTTTATTATTGAAACGAGCATTGCTGAGTTGAGAGATTCTGCATAGGGATCTCAGTCGGTTATGAACGAGTTTCGAAGCCATGGCTGACGAGCTCGAAAATATGGTGTAACGTGTTGCTAATAGGACAACAGCTTTGTCACAACTCTTTTATGTTAGGTACACAGTCAGGTGACCCCGTCATCATTGGGCCTGATTGGGTCTTTGGTCCAAACTTGTTTACTTTCTTGGGCCGTCAGAAATTTATAAGAAAAAATGACACTATAACCGTTGTAAAAATAATAATTAAAAAGATGTATAAAATTTGTATAATTTTTTTATATATATATTTTGTATGTTATATACAAAAATTATACATATTTTACACATTTTTTCGGCTAAAAAATGAAAATAATTTCTGGCGAGGGCTAAAAGTAATAATACACAGTCACTTTTGGGCAGCTAATCAAGCTTTAGCCACTATTTCAAAAATTATTACACATTTTGCCATTCTTTTGACGCAAAAAAGGTTGAAGAATTAACCCAAATAGCCATCCACCCAATATCTTAAACTAAAAATGGCTGATGGAGGTATAATATATGCGTAATTTATGTATTATATATGTATAATTGTGTATAATTAATGTATAAACTGTGTATATGACTAAAAAAAATATGGACGGCTGTTTGTGACAATACTCCAAATTAAAACAAGAAACAACTCCACCATACTGGAGTTTAAAAATTTGTTGGAGTTTCAAATCTCAGAAATTCTCATGGGGTTAAAACCTTTATAAGTTTAAATTCACAATCTAAGTATAAAAATTTGTCGTCATAAAATCGTAGTGACTCAATATTTCTTGGCTCCAATGTTTTAAAACCTTGAATACGTATTTTCTTCCGCCTTTATCTTTTTTGTCCACCCCTTCCCCTTGCCGGGGACATTGCTAGTCTACAAAGGGCACTTGCATTATTCAATGACTGATTTGCCCACGTGAGGGTGTGACATTTACTGTGTTTTCTTCCTCTAATAAAAATAATAATGTGTCTATGTGAGGACCAAATGGTGAGTAGTAATAGTTAGTGCTTTGTATTTATATCAGCCAAAAATAGGTATTCTTTTGCCAAAAAAGTAAATGAGATTTCCCACAAAAGCTTTGCGACCTGTATTGTGTTCTCCAGTTTTTTGTTGTATTTAAGCTATCAAGTAACAATCCTTTTCCAAAGGCATTGTATGGGTCCGAATTTGATCGACCACGACCTATGGTGGGTACGGCAAACGACCAAAAATCTATGAGTCGACAAAGAGATACGACCCTGTGAAGGGAGGAGAGATACCACCGCATTGGCAGTAGATTCGGCATGTTAGGTGACCTAGGGAATATTCATTAGATATTTCTTAATTTGTCGTCCATACGATTATGGGAAAACCCCTCAGTATATAAGAAGGGTGAAAGTCTTGTAAAAGGGGGGATTTTTGGAAAAAGAACCACTGGCCTTGAACTATTATCATCTCTCTATTATTGTCATCCTAGAGTTTATTATCTTCGGCTATGATTTACCCCTTCATCATTGATTGATTTGATTAAAAAGGGTTCGAAATCTTTTTAGTCAAACAATTTGGCGACGTCTGTGGGGATTTCCATAGCTGAAATCATAGTTCTCATCTAGGTTCTTGAAAGCGACAATCATTGTTCTTCAAACCCCATAAAAACCAACAATGGCGGAGAAAGAAGCGAGGTCGAAGATGATAGCAGATGTCTCAAACAACCTCCTGAACTCCCTCAACAAAGCTGGTAGAGAAGACATCGAGAATACAACACCAGGGGTTGCACCTGAGGGGGAAATCTCACCTTCTCCATACGGGGATCTAACGATCCTGCGCGAAAGGAGAGCCTCCACGTCTACGGCAGGAGAAACTCCACCAGTAGTCAAAAAACTGCTAGAGGAATGGTTGACAAGTGCTCTGAGCGACATGCTCGAAAAAACCCCTCAAGGAAATGTCGAAGACCTACCACCTACGGAAATCGCAGTTACCGTCAGCGAACTAAGCACTACACGAATGGGCAGCACCCGCACTGTAGCTGATGCAGGTGGTGATGCACTCGTAACCATCTTAAAGAAAATAGGAGAGATGGAAAACGAGAACAAGACGCTCCGAGATCAAATGAAAGAGCATCAGGAAAGAGTTGACAAAATACCAGGTGCCCTAAGCTATTGCCAAAACGCGATGTGGGCCGATTCGTCGAACAGCCATACAACGAAGGGGCTACCCCTCATCCTATTCCAAAAACTTTCAAGATGCCACCATACCTGAAAATATACGACGGGACCACGGACCCGGAGGATCATCTAATCCATTATGTTACTGTGGTAAAAGGCAACGACCTGTCAAAGGAGCAAGTACCATCTGTGTTGCTAAAAACGTTTGGCGATACTTTGACGGGGGAGCACTGACATGGTATTCCCAGCTGCCAGCACGATCAATATCAACATTTGAAGAGATGGCGGATAAGTTCGCCACCGCTCATATAGGGGCGAAGAAGGCTGAAGCTAGGGTCAATGATATCTTCGCGGTCAGGCAAATGGCGGGCGAAGGACTTCGGGATTTCTTGGCTCGATTCAACAGAGTAAGGATGAGCCTCCCAAACGTATCAGAAGGAATGGCAGTGGCAGCCTTTCAGAATGGGTTAAATAGGAACGGATCGAAGGCAACCAAGAAATTGCTCAGCAAACTTATGAAGTATCCCCCACCACGTGGGAAGAGATCCATAATGCCTATTGCGCGGAGGTAAGAGCAGATGAGGATGATCTGAATGGCACGATTCAGCGATTAACGTCAGTTCAGACCGAGGCAAGGAGAGGTCGATGTAACGACGGGCGAAGAGACCAACCACCACGCTTCAACCGATAAAGGAATCAGCCCTATATTCGAACATCCAACGTGCCCCCTCCACGACACGCGGAAACCATGCAACGGCACACTGCGCCTCTCCGAAATGAAAGAGGTATGCCTCCACTACTATCTGCTCATAATTTTTGTGTTTCCCCTTCAGAGATAGTGTACGCACTAGAGAAGCTGTGCACGAAGGTACAATGGCCACAAAAGATGAAATCGGACCCGAGCACTAGGAGGTCCAACGTTCTCTGCGAATTCCACCAAGAAAGAGGACATAAGACCAAGGATTGCATAGGTCTACGCCAAGAAATAGTTAGGATGTTGAACCAGGGGTACCTGAAAGAACTACTCAGCGACAAAAGAAGGACCAACTTCGCCAGAGGACGTGATTCATCTCAAGGACCTCCAAAGCCATCGTCGCCAGCACGCACCATATAGATGATCATTGGAGGCGGCGGCGACATGGTAATCAACCATGTAAAGTTCACCACCATGCACAAACTCAAACGGACGGTTGCCCACGAACTGCATGACGACTTCGAAGACAGTATCATCTTTGATAAGTCCGATGTCGACGATTTGTCTTTCCCTCACTATGACGCTTTGGTTATAACTTTACGCATCACTGATACCGATGTAAAAAGAATCATGGTAGATGACAGAAACGGCTCATGTATCGTTCACCCAAGAGTTCTCATACAAATGAGGCTCGTGGATAAAATAATACTGCATTGCATAACACTAATGGATTTTAACAATGTAGTAGAACTGACATCCGGGGAAATAATGTTACCTGTCCTAGCAGGGGGAGTCACGCTGGAAACAACACTCCACATCGTGAACCAGGAAACAGCCTACAACGCCATCATAGGGCACCCATGGATACACTCCATGCGAGCCGTCCCGTCAAACTTCTATCAAGTGGTCAAATTTCCCACCCCGTAGGGAATATTCAGCATCCAAGGCAAGCCGCGCACCGCCCAGGAATGCTATCGAATCGCCCAAGATTGCACGCACACCAAACAACTGAAAGGTGCAAGTACAGCAATCAGCCATGTCAGGAACTAAACCCAACCCACCAATAGAGGCCATCAAAGACCCAGACATCGTAGAAGCCTGCAAGGCGACTATAGAGGACCTCGACCCAGTCCAATTGAACGACGCCGACAACACAAAAAAGGCTTACATAGGGCACAGCCTATCAGAGCCAGGTAAGTATCGTGAATTTTTAACTAACAATGCCAATTTATTTGCCTTTTCCCATTCAAATATGCCAGAAATCCCAAAGGACATCGCCACTCATAGGCTGAATGTCGATGCACTCTATCCGCCGGTACGGCAAATGAGGAGAAAGTTCAATGCCACAATCAATGAAGTGGTCAGCGAGGAGGTGGATAAATTACTCGCCAACGGTTCCATCAGAGAATCAAAATACCGCCAATGGGTCACCAATGTGGTCATGGTCAAAAAGAAGAATGGGAAATGGCAAATGTGTATGGACTTCACCGATCTGAACAAAACATGCCCTAAAGACTCCTTCCCGTTACCCCATATCGACCAGCTGATCGATGCGACGGCGGGGCACGAACTGCTGAGTTTCTTGGACGCCTACTCCGGATACAACCAAATTCTAATGGCCGAAGAGGATCAAGAGAAAACGACGTTCATCACTCACCAAGGGACTTATTGCTATAAAGTGATGTCGTTCGGACTCAAGAATGTAGGGGCCACTTACTAGAGGTTAGTCACCAAAATGTTCAAAGAACAGCTCGACAAGACCATGGAGGTCTATATCGATAATATGCTGGTAAAGTCGACCAAGAAGGAAGATCACATTAGCCATTTAAAAGAAGCCTTCGAGATATTGAGGCACTACGGGATGAAGTTGAATCCGGAGAAGTGCGCCTTCGGTGTGGCCTCAGGAAAATTCCTAGGTTTCCTCGTGTCACAGAGAGGAATCGAAGTCAACCCGGATCAAATCAAAGCCATCAAAGCGATACCAGAGGTACTGACCAGCAAAAAGTAGGTGCAAAAATTAATGGGGAAAATAGTCGTCTTATCAAGGTTCATTTCACGATCCTCGGATAGATGCCACAAGTTCTTCAATGTGCTGAGAAAAGACCTCGGGATGCAATGGAACGAGGATTGTGTCGACGCCCTGAGAAAATTAAAAGCGTATCTGTCTTCGACGCCATTTCTCGTCAAAGCGGATCCAGGCGAGTGTCTGCTCGTGTACTTGGCAGTCTCCGAAGTTGCGGTAAGTGCAGTCTTGGTCCGTGAAAATAAAGGTACGCAATCTCCGATTTATTATATCAGTAAAATTCTCATCGATATCGAGACAAGGTACCCTCACCTTAAAAAGTTAGCCCTGGCACTGGTCGTAGCTTCGCGAAAGCTTAGACCGTATTTTCAATGCCACCCCATAAAAGTAGTAACGACCTCCCCCCTAAGAGGTATCCTGCACAAACCCGAACTATCGGGTAGACTAGCCAAATGGGCCATAGAATTAAGCGAGCACGATATAACATATCAACTGCGAACTGCCATTAAGTCGCAGGTGCTCGCAGACTTCGTCGCTGATTTTAGCATGGAGATATTGCCCGAGGCAGAACAAGAAGCACTTCGCGCCTCCACACACACCGACCTCTAGGTCCTCTACACCGATGGAGCCTCCAATGCCTCGAGATCGGGACTGGGACTCGTCCTCGAGGTCCCTAGGTGCGAAGTGATTAGCCAGTCCATAGGATGCCCCGAGATGACTAACAATGAGGCTGAGTACGAAGCTGTGATTGCAAGATTGAAGCTAGCCCTCAAATATGGTGCCTGGCGACTTGTCATCCACTGTGACTCCCAACTCGTGGTGAACCAAGTCATCGGGACTTTCCAGATCAAAGAACAGAGGCTACAAAGGTACCAGTCAGAAATCCACAAGCTACTGCCAGAGTTCGACGAGTGTCGCCTCGTCCAGATACTCAGGGCACAGAATATCGAAGCAAATGGCCTTGCTAAACTGGCTGCGGCCACCAAGAATATCAACAAAGAGAACGTGACACACCTTCATTCTGAAATCGACCATGTTGAGGTACATTCTATAAACTTAACTTGGGACTGGCGTAAACGCTTCGTAGCATATTTGCAGGATTGAACACTTCCACAAGACAAGAAGGAGGCCAAAAAACTCCGGGTACAGGCAGCCCGATACAGCCTAATAAACAATGATCTCTATAAAAGAACATTCGGCGGCCTTCTGGCTAAATGTCTTGGACCACATCAAATGAGACGGGTACTAGAAAAAGTACATGAAGGGCACTGTGGCGCCTACACGGGAAACCGCGCCCTCGTCCGATGCCTCATCCGCACCGGTTATTACTGGCCCACCATGAAAAAAGAAGCCGCAGGTTATGTCTAAAAATGCGAGCAATGTCAAAAGTACGCCCCCATAATACATCAAGCAGGAGAACTCCTCCATTCAGTCATTTCGCCATGGCCATTCATAAAATGGGGAATGGACATTGTCGGCCCCCTCCCAGCAGGACGCGACAAGGTATGCTTCCTTTTGGTTTTAACTGACTACTTCTCTAAATGGGTGGAAGCAAGTGCATACACTCAGATACGTGAGTAGGAAGTCATCGCCTTCATTTGGAAAAATATTATATGTCGTTTCGGCATCCCCAAGGAAATTGGTTGCGACAACGGACCTTAATTCATTAGAAAAAGAACGACTGAGTTCTTCGAAAAATGGCACATCAAACGGATACTCTCTACGCCATATCATCCTGCCGCCAACAGCCAAGCCGAATCCTCCAACAAAGTGATACTGAACATATTGAAAAAGAAGCTCGAGGAAGCTAAAGGGCTATGGCCCGAACTACTACCTGATGTGTTATGGGCATACCGCATTACGCCGAAATCCATCACAGGAGAAACGCCATACTCACTGGTCTACGGGACCGACGCAGTCATACCCGTTGAGGTCAGGGAACCTAGCCTAAGATACTCCAACGTAAGTGGGGCAGATAACGACGAAAGTAGGCTACAAGAATTAGACAAAGCCGAAGAACGAAGAGACATGGCCCACGTAAGAATGGTAGCCCAGAAGCAGCAAGTAGAAAGATACTACAACAAGAAAGCCAAGGTACGATCACTCAAAGTGGACGATTACGTCCTCAAAACCAAAACACAGGCATCAAAGGATCCAAATGAAGCAAAGTTAGGAACAAACTGGGACTGACCGTATAAAATCGTAGCAGTAGCAAATAAAGGGGCATTCCAACTAGAAACAATGGAAGGAAAACTATTCCAAAACAATTGGAACGTCGCCCACCTCAAGTACTTTCACTTCTGAAAGGCGTCACCTAAGTTGTACTCTTTTTCCCTCACCCGGGTTTTTTCCCAATCGGGTTTTCCCGGGGAGTTTTTAATGAGGCGACGAAGGGGACGCCCTGCGGATCAGAATGTTATTTATCACCTCGGCCCATCGATACAATCTCCCGGGCGAAGTGATGAAGGGACTACACAATCAAATTGCCATCGTATGTATGAAATCAAATCGCCATTGTAATCGTTATTGTATGTATGAAATCAAATCGCCATTGTAATCGTTATTGTATGTATGAAATCAAATCGCTATCGTATGTACAAAATCAAATCTCCACTAATCGACATTAGTTCAACCTCGTTCGAACCACGACGGGATACCACTTCGGCGACAGTCGAAGCAAAATCCTAATGGCCAAGGCCATCGACATTAGTTTGACCTCGTTCGAACCACGACAGGATACCACTTCGACAGTCGAAGAAACATCCTAATGGCCAAGGCCATAGACATTAGTTCGACCTCGTTCGAACTACGATGGGATACCACTTCGACGACAGTCGAAGCAACATCCTAATGTCCAAGTCTATCGACATTAGTTCGACCTCATTCGAACCACGATGAGATACTACTTCGACAGTCGAAGCAACATCCTAATGTCCAAGGTCATCGACATTAGTTCGACCTCGTTCGAACCACGACGGGATACTACTTCGATAGTCGAAGCAACATCCTAGTGGCCAAGGCCATCAACATTAGTTCGACCTCGTTCGAACCACGACGGGATACTACTTCGATAGTCGAAGCAACATCCTAGTGGCCAAGGCCATCAACATTAGTTCGACCTCGTTCGAACCACGACGGGATATTACTTCGACAAGTCGAAGCAACACCCCAATGGCCAAGGCCATCGACAACGACAGTTCGACCTCGGTCGAGCTATGATGGGATTCTACACAATAATCGAAGCAACATCCTAATAGATGCCCAAGTGTCATGCAACAAACAAAATAAGAAACGACGAACAGAAAAACCGACAAAAAGTAAAGTTTATATTATAACAAAAATATCATTTACATTTTCTCTTATAAACAGACCCTAGCACGGCCCGTGCCAAAAATTCCCAAGCAAAAAATGTAGTACAAACTAAAAGTACACATCATCCCAAGCGGGGTAGGCATCTTCATACCACGAATTCGAAGCAAGGTGATTCACATCATCAGAATTGACACCTTCCCCGTCGGGAGTGAGAGGGTCATACCCATACGACTCACGGGCTGCACGCACTTCAACATGCACCGCCCGAACCTCCGCTTTTGTTGACCGGCCCTCGGCATGAAAAGCCTTATACACATCGAGCCGAGCCTCCGCATGGACCTATAACTCATACAAGCGATGAGGTGAGCCCTGACCAGTTGAAGGACGAGACGTTGAGGGCTGGGAACGACGGTTTACCTCCTCCGACCTCAGCGAAGCCATCTGCCCTTGCAATGCGGCCAACTCTGCCTCCAACTCCCTGACACGCCCTTCAAATCCCGCGATTCAATGACCGAAGTTTTCCCTCTCCCCCATAAGTTCCGACCTGGATAGGTGGAGGGCATCCTCCAAAGAGACCGTCTCAGAAATGGCAGCAGCCAACTTATCGGCACTGGCGTTCAACTCACCCTTAAGTCCGTCGATCTCCACTGCCTTTGCATCTAACTCAACGGTCAAGATGGCCACCTTTAGCTATAAATCGGCGTTCTCAGACGTTACCCCCTGACTCAACTCAAGATCGTCCTTCTTCGCCTTAAGAAGGGCCTCTAATTCGCTATTACAGGCGATAGCCCTCACAAGCTTCTCGTCTCTGTCACGCCCCAAACTAGGGGAGGCACGACTGGTACTTGATACTGTATTGGATCGAGTTAGCCACTAAACATACTAGCTAACTAAACTAGGGACCCAACAGATCGGGAAGCACAACATCTGAAATACTCAGCCTGGACCATTAAGGTGATGACCTGAATAACAATAAGCGATATAAACAAAGGTAGACGAGCCAAAATAATAAAGTACTAGCTGGCCGACGAGGCCGCGATTGGAGACATACATGCCTACACACATATATATACATGTCAAGCCTATGGGCTGGAGACTGAAAGCTACAAAAAGAAACCCAGAATATTGTGTCCACAATAGCCTCTAAGAGTGTCATAAGCACTGTCGGAACAAGGCCCCGACTATACCCAAACTGTACACANGCACACCTATAAACAGTTCATAATTGATTTTAAATCGGTAGATTTGCTATATGGCCCTAACTTGACGAAACGTCCGTAGAACTTTGTAAAAACGATCATAAAAGAGTCCCAANTAGGAACCCCGAAATCCTAGCGGAGGGGTCGATCAGAGTCCCTACCTAGATCTGTATGCACGAAACAAAAATGCAGTGTCCCCAGGCAACGGGACATCAGTGCGAATAAAAATGTACTGGTATGTAAGGCAGAAAGTAGAATCATACATAGCTAATGTAAAAAAAAATAATAGTGAAACCACCTGACACTGAANATACCTTAATCACTCAAGAACACCATGGAACCCTCTCTTCATCTCCCTCACTGTTTTGGGACGAAAATTAAATGTTTTGGGGTCTTACAAGTTGGATTTGCCGACTTATACCACTTATTTGACCCGACTCGGTTCGCGACCCGGTTTTAGCCTGGACAGTCCGGGGTAAAACAGTCATAACTTTTTACTCCAAGGTCCGTTTGATGTGAGATTTTTTTGATTGCAAACTAGACTTGTAGACCTTCAATTTGATAGGTTTTGGGTCCCAATAACTCATTATATATTGGGAGAAATGATCTGATACATGTGACCCAAAGTTTAGAAAAATTATTAGAGAAATTTACGATAACCTTTGCCGACCTTTATTTTGCAACTTGCTTGACTCTAAAACTTAACATGTGACCCGTGTGATATTATAATACCTCATAATACACTATTATTAGCATATTAGACACTCTTAGTCTTATCCCACAGGTGCAAGTTAACTTAAACCTTCCGAACACGCGGGATGATACCCGAGCCATTTCTTTAACCACGAACCTTTGTTTAAGGGATTCCTTTGACCTAAAGCTTTAGTTAGTTCCTTGATATTACCACACATTTTCAGTCTTATTCTCCCAATGTGCTATACCCAATCGTATATATCTAATATAACCACGCCACGTTACGTATATTATGTAAGAGAAGAGAAAAAAACACATGGGGTCTCACAGTCCCTCTCCTTCAGCTCCTCTACCCTGCGCTCCAATTGGTCCTCCCGCTGCTTAAGTCCCTCGCGGAAAACCTGGAACTCGGGATCCTGATGATAGATATCAGACATCGCCCGGTGCTTAGCACGATACTGATGGTATTTCGACGACATCTTCTTATAGAGGCCCGTCCTTCTCCGTTCACGACGCTCTCTCTCCACCTCCATGACGAGGGTCTGACAAAAGAGAGGAGCAGAGTTAGACTAAATACATCACATTGCCACACCAACCCCATAACACAAGGAAAAGAAGAAACATACCTGCAAGGCCATACCGACGACCCTCCGAGATAATTCCGCGTCACTCATCGTCCCAAGTGTCTCGCTTTCAGGGGTGGTGCATAAAGGAGCGAGGGCCGACGCAACCTGCTCACTATTCAATAGAAAGTTGTAACTCCCGGAATTACCACATGACGGTTGGATCCGTCTGTCCTCACCTCCACACGGGTATGGCGACCCAAAAATTCATCAACGTCCTCCGGGGCGACATATGAGCCCGATCCATCCTCCTCGACACAAGGTCCTCCGACATTGGACGATGCACCCCCTTCAGCGGAACGCACTAAACCGGCTCCCCGGCCAACTCTCTCCATTCGGGAAGACCTCCCCGAAAAAATGGCGTCGGCCATAAACACGGGCACCGGGGCCATCCGAGATGCCCCACTTCCGTCGGCCTCAGTGGCCACGCCCTTTCCCAGCTCCAACTTTCAATTTTTTTCTCTAACGACTCGTCTCCATTAGAAGATTCATCAACAGGATGCGGGGTCGGTGCCAATGAGGCCTTTTCCCTCATGACCTCAGTCCGAGACTAGTCTCCCTATTGAAGAAGCTGAGGACGACCTCCCCGAAGAGACTCGCACAAAACGAATCGTGTGTCCATGGTAGCAATGGATCATCTAAAAGTAGGGACTGGCACCCTTCGCCTAGAAGCCCTCCGACCTGTCGTCACAGAGGGCTATATAGTTAGGCAGGGTCGCACAACCTATGAGTTAGTAAGGCAGAAATTTACCTGAAGAAACCCTAGTGCCATAACGTTGTATGAAGACAGACCAAGTCCAAGTTTCCTCCGCATGGGGCAGCAGGTTAGCGACCTAATTCCTAAGACCCGTAATAGGGTGGGGCAGACGACCTATAGTTGCAGAACAACAAATAACCAAAAGTTACGCTAATTACAGAGGACGGGGGGGGGGTACATAATGAACAACGATACTTACGAGTTTTATTCCACCGCTTTGGAAATCCGGCAGGGTTAGAGGCGACGTACTCGGTCTTGATGAAAAAGTACTTGTGATAAAATTTACGGCTC